CTTATTTGGAAGTAGACTCTGTATGGATAAAACTAATTAAGATGAGGTCATATTGGATTACAGTGGGCCCTAAATCCAATGACTGATGCCTTTGTAAGAAGGCCACTAGAAGATACAGAAGGTCTTCTAATGTGTCTTCTAATGTCTAAGAAGACAAAGACAGGCAAAGAGTAAAGTGACACATCTACAAGCCCAGGAATGGTAAAGATGGCCAGCAACCACCAGAAACCAAGAGAGAGGCTGGCACAGGCTCTCCCTCGGAGCTTCCAGAAGGAGCCAACACTACCGGCCCCTTGGTTTCAGACTTCTGGCCTCCAGAGCTGTGAGACAATGCATTTTGGCTCTTTGTAGCCACCTAGATTGTGGTGCTTTGTTATGGTGGCCCTGGAGGCTAACACACAGCTCCATGTTGTGTTCAGAGGCTCTCCCGGTCTTCCACTCTCCTTCTCTCCTTTCTCCTTCACAGGCATTTCCACTTAAGATATTCCCTGCACTTTTGATTCCATCTTTGCATCTATTTTCCAGAAACCTAAACTGACACAATATCCAAAACCAAAAATGAGCCCAATTTTTGGTTTTCAATCAGAATCTTCAGAAAGGGTCTTTATCATCAACTCAACAAGAATTGGCAAGCAGCTGCTACTAGCCAGGCACAGGGTGGAAGGTGTATAAAAGTGAACAAGATGTAAGCTCTCCCAAGTGCCCTTTCACACTAATGAATACAGTTTCATCTTGAGGAATACATCAAGAAAAAAAAACTTTAATCTCAATACAATGGCGAAAGTGTTATCATTGAGATACGCAAAGTATCTTCCGGCTGTACAGATGCCCAGCAGCATGAAGGACACTCAATCCAGTGTGCAGAGGGGCAGGCCAGAAAACCATCGCAAGAGGAGGTAAAATGTGCCCTGAGACCCAAAAATGACAAGGAATTGGCCAGACAGAGCATGGGGGAAGGCATTCCAAGCAGAAGAAACATGTGTTCAAAAGCATATGTATTCTTTACAGGACTAAAATTCAGGAGATCTTGAGTCTCCTCCATCTCGGGGAAGGAGAAGGGAGGTAACCTGGTCACATGGTTTCTCAGAGGCTGGCTCTGAGTTGTCCTGGAGCTGAGGATACAACGTGGAGTTTTCCTAAACCTCCCCCTCCTTGCTCCTCACCCAGTTGCAGTCATTTCTTGTTTTGCTTGGGGTCTTGGGGACCCTGTCTGGAGTTGGGATTTAGACATGCACAGACATGACTAATGGTCTGAGGAATCTAGCAGAAATCCGTTTGCTTAAAATGATCAATGTGAGGAAAATTCGCAAGTAAGGGAGGAGTCTGATATGATCAATATTAGTTAACAACGGGGCCTAAAGAGTGGTTCTGGATAGAATACGAGAGAATTCTCAAATATTGCCTAATCCAGTTTCCTGGAGGTACCTATGCTAGGCTGTCTGGATATGGCTAAAACTCACCAGCTTCAAGAAATGGGTCACCTCCAGCCAGTGTGACGCCAGAAGGATTTCACTCTCCCCACCCCACACTCTCAAAAAAGAGTGAGCCATGTACAGACACAGATCTAGAGAGAAATAAGGACTGACGTAGCAGACTGAGTAGCTATCCCAAGGAACTTTGAAGATCAGGAAGGACCAGTGCCACCCATGCAAACAGAGCATGGACCATGGCAGCCTGGTGCAAGCCCATTAAATGGTGAAGAATCTGGAAGCAGACAATAATAAGATTCCACATGCAGCAGCAGAGAAGAGAGTAGACACCAAAACACATGCCAGAGATCAAAGTCAGGTCAGCACACTAAATGGCCTAAATGAGTTAGTGGAAGGAAAATTGGCCAAAGGCAAGCAGAATGACTCCCGGGAGGAATGACGAGAATAGCAGCCAGAACAGTGGGGTGGCAGGGTACTGCAGAGGCATGAATTATATGTGACCAGTTGTGACCCACAGGGGCTCAAAGAGGGAAAACAGAACTCCCTTCTCACCACCGTTTGGATATCCATCTGCCTAGCTGACATCCCCACTTGGCTGTCTTTTATTTCTCAATGACTAAAATTCATGTCTATGAAATATTTCTGAGCATCTGAGAGCTCACACCATGGGTCTACTGGGCTTATTTTTTCAGAATTTTAAGTCATTCAGGAAACCATGCTTTTTTAGGAATGTATTAGGAAAGCAAAATCCAAAATGTTTATATCTTTCCTTTCCCCTTCTGTGGGAACTCCCTTTATTTCTCTGTTCCCAGTTTCCTGCTCTCCTGAGAGAGTAAGGGATTAGGGTAAATTTAACACCTTGAAGTTGGTGTGTTATAGCCGCCATCTTGAGACAGCCCTATTCAACACAGGGCTACATGACTGCTTATGTAGACAAAGAAGAAAATGAAGGGCCCCAGTTAATCTAAAAGAACCTTTGGTATTGTATTAAGTGGTCACATGATTGTGACCGAGAACGCACAGGTGGTGGCTTGAAGTAAAACTCTAATTGGCATATTTTTAAAAGCAATATGGCAGCTCTGAGCTTGCCACAGAATTAGGAGGAGAGATGGAAGCCCTCGCTATGGAGAGCTGGCCTGCAGCCGAAAAACTATGGTCAGCTATTTCTCTGCTGTTCCTCTCTTCCGATTTAATATAAAATCATGATTTCTTCTTTTTCATGAGTAAGGAGAACAGACAGTGGGAAACAGAATAAAGGTCCCTCAACCCCCATCTGTGGTCACCTCAACCCATGGTGAACCCAAGCCATGGCTTCCCTTTCCAGAACGTATCCTTTATTTCCCACTGACGTCAATGATGGAGAGGAAGAGACCATGCCTGGCTGACAGCAAACAATTAACCAAGGGAACCAAAGGGCCGGTCCTCGGTCTGTGGAGGGCGTGGGCGGGACTGCCACTGCCAGGGGACTAGGTGAAGAGCGGATGCTGTCATACTTGAGCTTTCTGTAGAGATAAGTAAATTAGGAAAAGAACCAAAAAGGGTCTTCGACTATGACAATGGAGTCATTTCTTTTTAAAGTTCTCCTCAGAGGAGTCCCAAGTGTTAGAAGCTCATTCTTCTAAAAAAGAAATTCAAACCTGGACTAAATAGCTCTCTGTGAATTCTCCTGATGAGAAAATCAATGATTTGAGTGTGATGGCCATTCCAATAAAAGCCTGACATTTCTGGATAAATAAAATAGTTTTCTAACAAGGAATAAGATATTCAAAATTGTTAAAACAGCTTGATTGTGTCCATTTCTATGTCCAATGCCAGCATGGAAAGAACTCAGTGCTATGAACCAGCATGACTGAAAGGAGAATATTGAAATAAGTAGGAAGTGAATTCTGTGGTTTTAAGAAATATAACTTGGGGCTGGCCCAGTGGTGTAGTAGTTAAGTTTGCATGCTCTGCTTCAGCAGCCCAGGGTTCACAGGTTTGGATCCCCAGTAGGGACCCAGCACCACTAGTCAAGCCACAAGGAAAACTGGCAACACATGTCAGCTCAAGGCCAATCTTCCTCACAAAAATAAAAAATAAAAAACTTGGGGGGCCAGCCAGTGGCGCAGGGGTTAAGTTCGCAAGTTTCGCTTCTGTGGCCAGGGGTTCACCGGTTGAGATCCCAGGTGCAGACATGGCACCGCTTGCCAGGCCATCCTGTGGTAGGCTCCCACAAATAAAGTGAAGGAAGAGAGGCACAGATCTTAGCTCAGGGCTAGTCTTCCTCAAAAAAACAAACAAAAAACAACTTGAACTTGTTTGGAAGGTGCTTGGAAGCAAAAGTTGCAGTTTCTTTAATAAAAAATATATATGTAAATTTGAACAATCTAATGTAAAATATGTTACCAAATATTTTTATGAACGTCCAGCATTTTGTGGAAACTACCTAGTAACCGGAAGCAACTGGCACCCCTCAATGCTGAGCCTGTAGCTGGGGAGCGGGGGCAGCAGGGAGGGAGGGCCCTGGGAAAGCGGAATAAATGACAAAGGAAAGGGTGACATCAGAGGAGAGGGCAACAGGTGAGACAGCAAAACCAGAATGGAGGGGGCAGGAACACTGAAAAAGGGAAGAGGCCACTTAGTGAATTCTGCTGCTTTCCTGGAAAAAGAAAGTTTAAGAAAAAGAAAATCCAGAATTTGCTAAAACAGGAACGAAATAGACGCTAAAACACTGAGCAAAGAGCCACAGAAGGGGAACAGGAAATCTGCTGCCCCCTGCCCCCACCTGCCCCACCTGCACGTCCCGCACCTCCCAGGCCTCTGTTGCACGCGGACACTGCGCTCCTCTCTGAGCAAACTGTGGCCAAAACACTTGTGGACATTTATGACCCTCAGTTATGTGTGTGTCGTCAGAGCTTAGTCTCCCCCGAGCTGTCTCTAGACACTCAGGAATTTCTCCCTGGCAATCAGTGCAAGCCAGGGTCTTACGAATCACTGACAGAGGGAAGAGGAAAGAAGCTTAAGCAAGGACACGGAAGGACACCAGACGCAGACCGCCTCTCCTCTAGGCGCGGCTCCGCTGTCTTGGCCCCCTGTTAAGCAGTGTCCTTCGGCTTTGACGTGCGCGGGAGTCACCTTGGGGATCTTGTTCAAGTGCGGATCCTGGTTCAGAAGGACTGGAATGAACCCCAAATTCTGCGTGCTAACAAGCTCCTAGCGATGCCAGGGCTGCTAGTCGCAGACGGCACTGGGAGAAACAAGTCGCAGAGCCCCCTGGTGAGCCCAAGCGAGTCAGGTGTGATGAGAGAGAATCCACAAGCACCTTGTCTCCCGCAGGGACGGACAGAGAGAAGGCAGGAAGCAACTTGTGTTATTTTTTAACTTATTACTGTACTTTGTCCAAATCCCAAAGATTCAGTGGCAGTTACGGCAGTTTCCCTTTAGGACTTTTAGGGAGAGAGAATTCCCTACTCGAATCGAGACAGGAAGCATAGGGCTGTGAGTAAGCCCAGGGTGGAGTGGAACCCGGAGACTCTGGGAGTTCTGACACGCCCACTGGTTGAGCTCCAGGCTGCCCCACAGCTTCCCCACTTCTCACCGAACCTTCTCCAGGGAGGAACTGATAGTCATCTCTGAATTATGCCCAACCTGAGCGTCAAGGGCCTGTTGGAAAGCTTGGATCATTTGAGCAGAAATATTGGAAAGTGGTAAAAACCGTCCTTCAGGATTGAAGCTAGTGGTTTGAGTCTCATTTCCTTAGCCACTCTGAAGATGTTCCCGGGACAGAAGCTTGCTCAGGGCTCTGGGCGACGCGCGCGAGGGGCGGCGGGGTGGGGCGTGCACGCGCCTCCTCCGCGCGCCGAGGCGGGGGCTCAGGCCATCGCTGGTTTGGCCTCTCGAGCAGAGTTGCGAGGAGCCGCCCGATCGCGGGGCAGCGGCCCCATCTCTATTTCCTTTGACAGAAACTGCGTGTTGCCTGACGCCCGTGGGTGTTCTCAGGGCAGCTGCGAAGTTTGCCTGCCTTCTGACTGACTGCACGCCTGCTGGTGCCTCGGGGCAGGGTGGCGGGTGGCGGGGGAGGAGTAACCAAGTTTCACTTCCTTGCCGGTGGGGACTCAGCCCAGTGGCTGCTCTGCGGGGAGAGCTGTGGAGCAGGGCCTCCGTCGCCCCGTGCCACAGCGCCCGCCGGGCCTGGCGGACAGGAGGAGCGCGAATGGGCAGAGCGGAATCTCTGAAAGGGAAGATGAGCTCCCAGGACCCTTCAGACCTGTGGAGCAGATCGGACGGAGAGACTGAGCTGCTCCAGGACCTGGGGTAAGACAGCACCCTTTTCCGAGTGCTGCTCGGGTGAGCGTTTCCTTTGGGCTCCCGCGCGAGGGCTACCTTCGAGCCGCTCTCCACCCCGTCTCTCCCCTCTCCACTTTACTCATTTGGGTATCTTGCTGTTGGGGCCAATTGCGCTGTAAAAGCAGGTATTATTTTTCCAGACGTGAAAACAGTAGGTGGACAAAATGGGACAAAAATCAACTGCTGGACATTCTTTGGGAATAGGGACAGCGTTGGGATGTGTGAGGTGCTCTTGCAGGGTGTCCTTGGTACTGACCTGATTTATGAATACAGTAGGTGCTGTTAGAAAGTTTTGAGCTCTGAGCTGCTGGCAGTGACAGGACTGTACTGCGGTAGATAAACAGAGAGCCGACCCTACAGTGTGGGAGAGGGAGTTTTTCAAACAAGAAAGAATGAGGAAGTGCCTGTGGCCAGGTCCCATATGTGTGTCTTTCTCCTGATGCTGCGTTTGTGAGCTCTTGTCTGTATCCACGTCCAGAGCGGCAACTTTGAGCCTTAAGTACTAACAAGTCAGGAAGAGAATAAAATTTCCGCCTCAAACAGATGATAAATTCAGGTAGTTGGAGTCATCGCAGTCCTGTCTTTAAAAAGGGACCAGATGAAACAACTCATCAGGATATTTAATAAAAGACGTAAGTATTACACAAGAGAGGAGCAGGGGGTTTCCTAGAGAAACTGAACCTTTTCCCTAAAGCCCTGGGCCTATCCTGCTGGGGCTGGCTTCGACGCCTGCGCTTCACGAGAGGCAAGACCTGTGCCTCCAGTCTTAATAAACAACAATCCAGTGACACAGGACCAGTTGTCACCTCCGTTTTATGAAGGAAGCAAATGAACACCAAAGGAGTGAATAACTGGCCTACAGCCGCACATCAGTTAAACAGCAGAGTGGGATTCCAACCTGCCAGAGCCTGAGTTCTTAAGCAGAGAAAGACTGAACGAGGGGTAGAGTCTCTGCGTGAAGGCTGCAGAGGTTGTGTCGTTCTGTGTGGTATCACTGTAAACGTTCTCAATAAGTCCTGTCTTTAGACTTTAAACCTGAGGTCTCAGAAGTGAACTCTCCCTTCACAAAGTAAATCGGATAGAACAGCAAGTATTTTCAATAAAGTAAATTCTCCTTACCGGGAACTCAGAGCTCCAGGACATCTCTATCCTTCTAGATTGAATCCCTAAACAGAAGAGATAAAATGCCCCCTGTTATCCAAAACGGGTGTCACAAAGACCAGGTGCTAAAACTGGACCCTTGCACTCTCACTCAGAGCCTTCTTAAATTATTAAACTATAATTCTTTACCTGTTTGGTTATCTATCGTCCCAGCCCACCATCGGTAGGAAGCCCCAACCAAGAAGAGAGACAAAGGAGATACTCAATTCTAGTCCTTTAGTTAAAGGACCCCTGAGCCTGGGCTGTGCTTGAGTACTGTTGGCCCTCGCTGGGATGACCAAGGTGAGCTAGATGATGTCTCTTCTCCCTACCATTAAATGCCCATAGCAGGAAGCGAGCACAAGGAAAACCCACAAGGAAACAGAACTGTGTCTTCCCTCCAAGTACAAAGAATGGGCATTCAATACAACCCGGAAACGTCCAAAATAGGTACTTTTTGTCCAGACTTTTCTATTTCAGAAGGCCTGGAAATTTATTAAACATTTGAGGGTGGTTCTGTAACAACAGGCAAGCTGCAATTTTTATGAGGGGAAATTGCTCTATAGTTGTGGTTCTCAAACTTGACTGTGTGCCAGAATCACCCAAGGAGTTTTTGAAAATTGCTGCCCAGGCCTCATGCCAGCAAGTGATGTCAGTTTCTCAGGGCGGGGGTCTTTTCTTGTTTAAACTCTCCAGGTGATTCCAGGGCTAGGCCAAGGGTGGCAACCACTGCAAAGAATGTAAATGCATCGGAAGCACTAGCAAATGTGCCTTTAGTTTTCATTTTTTGGGTATGTACCTGAATCTTAAAGCCATTAATAAGCATTGACATTTTGTTCATTGGTTTGGGAGCATTTTGTTTAAAAATTTTATTGAGGTATGCTTTACAGATCATAAAACTCATTTCAAGTGTACAATTCAATCATTTTTAGTGACTTTAAAGAGTGGTACAACTATCACGATAAATCAATTTTAGAACATTTTTATCCCCCCATAAGAACGCTCAGGAGCAGGTTTATCTAAAAATCCTGAGTGGTGTGCTGATAAACCGCCTGGGGGCAGGGGACCTCGGACTTCTGGGAGCTGCCTATTTCCCTGGTGTAAATACTCCCACCAAGGGCAATGCCAGGCTCCCAAGAGTTTAACAACCAGCCTGTAAAATTCCTGAGAATTTAACAACGGACTTGAGCCAGTACTTGCTGCTCCAAGACATCACTGATATACTGCTTATAGGTAATATCTGAGAAATCTGAAAAATGACCAGTTGCCTCTGGCAGAATTCTGAATAGAAATGAAACTTTTTCTTTGAAACTGTTAGTCACTGGTTAGATAACACATCTCATTAATTCAGATTTTAAAAAGCTCCATAAAAACAAAATGATTTAATGTAGTTGATAGATAAAAGGTGGATGTCTTAATGACTTAATTTTTAAATTATTTTAATAGGTTATTTGACCAGTTATGTAGATTTTTATGTTTATATTTTTGATAGACATAAAACAGATAACGTGTTGGTTAAATTTGAGAGATATCATACATCTTTGCTCTTCGGTCCCTATTTTCCTTCAGGCTCTGGAATCTGTAAGTTCTGTAAATTAAACCCTGAACTGCTGCAAATCCTTCGCGTGCCTTTCCATGACACAGGTGACTTGCTCAGAGCACAGGTTTATTCTTTCCTAAAGTACCTAAATCAGGCAACTCCGATGCATTTCTGTGTCTCATTTTTGCAGTGTCAATCTAAAAACATTTGTTTTATTTCATCCTAAACGTATTAATGTGTCCAAAAGCAAAGGGGAAATAAAACCATCTTCGGCTGTTCCTCAGTTTCACTCACACTTGGCGGTCTGGGTTGGGGGCGGGGGGGTGAGAAGCAAGAAGTGGGCTGGGTCAGAGGTTGCCTGCTCGCTGCTTTCAAAACGCAGCGATGGGGAAATGAGACAAGTAGTGAATGCTAGAGACATCACCTAAGTAACAAACTGGTGTAGAATTGTTGGTTAATAATTTAAAATTCCAGCAATCCTTTGATTATGACACAAGTTCCTACAAGACAGTTTTGATTAAACTGGGACTAGTATAGTGATATAGTTTGTAAAGGGGTAAGCCTTTATAAACTATGTAACTACAGACACAAAAGGGATACTGCAAAATAAAAATATTTTAGGATATTTTCAAATTAAATGTCTAAATTATCTCTTTATACATATTCCCTCAAGTGAGGAATATAATAAATATTCCCTTTTTATGTACTTTCCCAAATCTCAAATTTTATAAAAACGTGTCGCTGTTTGGCTGTGTTGGCCAGTGTCAAGAAACTAGATTCTGAGCTCTGGATATTTAAGTAAAGCAATGCACACGTTTCTAATTGCCTTGCCCTTTAACCTTCACGTATAAGAGAACGTTGGAATAGATCAGGGATCAGCAATATTTTTCTAAAGAGCCAGGTAATAAATATTTTAGGTGTTGCAGGCCTTATGATTTCCGCCACAACTATTCACATCTGCCGTTGTCGTGTGAAAACAGTCGTAGATGACACAGAAGGAAACGACCGTGACGGTGTTCAAACAAAATATTATTTATGGACCCTGAAATTTGAATTTCATGTTATTTTCATGAGTCACGAAATATTCTTCTCCTTTTTTCCCCCCAACTATTTAAAAATGTCACACCATCCGTGGCTCTCAGTTTAGATGAAAACATGTGCCCTGGCAGGAATCGGCCTGCTGGTGGTGGTTTGCTGACCTAGGGAATAAATAATAATAACCAAAATGAGTTCTATTATGAGGCAAACATTTTGCATACACTAGCTTTGTCTTCAAAAATTATTATTATTCCATCTTCACATACGAGGAGACGTTAGCAGGGAAGTCAGATTGCTTGAAGTCCCAGAGGACGCGGATCCAAAGCCCATATTTGTTCCACCAAACAAGGCTGCTTTCCTGTTGTGATAGTCGTTATGTGCTGACCACCTAGTCTGTGCCAGCGCCGTGGGGCTCACATCCATTATGTCATTTAGCCTTCATAATAACACTGTTACTATAGCGTGATTATCCTCGTTTCATGGGTGCAGAGGGTGACTTCAGATAAGTTAAGTGAGCTGCCCGGGTCCCAGACCTCACAAGTGGTGCAGCTGAGGGAATGCTTGGGGTCTGCCCCACAGCTAATGCTCTTCCCGATGATCAAAGGAGGTACGTGTTCTAACAATGGCAATTAATAACTATTGGATGCTCACCATGTGCCAAGCACTAGTTTAAGCCCTTTGCACATATAATTTATTACATTCACATGTCATTGTGTGGTAGACACTGTCAGTAATGTCATACCCGTTTACAGATGAGAAGAGTAAAGAACAGAGTTTGTATCATATGCCCAGGGTCACATGCTCATAACCCTTCAAGTCCAGGAGTTTTGCTCCAGAGCCCCTGTGTTTGTCCATTAACGCAAGCTTCTAATTTCCATCAAGTTTCTCTCTTCTTATTATGCTAGCAGTATTTATTAGTGCTAGTGTGAACTGAGAGAAAAGAAGAAAGTTCTCTGATTACTACAACCAACAAATTTCGTTACTAAAAGACATTATTCTTGCATATTCTTTGCATAATACACCTGCACATGCACACAAAGCCAGGCCAATATCCTAATTAATCAGAATTTTATTGAATTTTGTGTAGATTCCACTTTTCAGAGCTGGACAAATTGAATAGGCTAGGAAAAGTGCAATAAAGTCAAAGCTTTAAAGGAACCTGTTTACAGAGCTGTGATAACAACTAGAGAAATAAAGCTTATTTCTCTTCTGTGTACAATTCTGGAAACCTGGATTCTGAAAACAGAAG